AGGTTTCTCGTGCTTTGGTCTGCGACCTCTCGACACTTATGGACTCTGAACCAGAAATATCGGCTGATGAATTAAAAACTATTAATTAAAAAAATATAATAAAAAATATATTAAATTCTTTTTACTTTAATATAAATTATAAGATTTAAATCTCGTCCCTACTCTTAAAATTCAATAGTTGCATCACTAGAGCTATCAAAACCGATCATTGTTCGCGAATAACTCGTATCGAACTCGTTAAGCAAAAGAATAATTTTTTTGAGTTAAATGTACAAATAAACTAAACAAGAAAAACGATATTTGTTAACAAGTCGAACATTTATCCAAATTTCCCCGCTCTGATTAATAACACGTTATTTTGACAAATGTGATGTATTTTTAATATATATATATATATTTAAGTGAGCCAAGTAGGTTGAATTATTGTTGCATGTCAGATTTGGCTCAAACATTCTTAAAATTTTGATAATAATATGATTAAATGACGTCAAATCTATAAATTATAATTTAATCAAATATTAACATATGTAATTTATTTATCTTTAAGGATAAAGTATAATTATTATATACAGCAGTCATAGAAAAAAAATGCAAAAATTAATAAACAAGTATTCCATAAATAACCACTAACATAGTAATTTGATTATACCATCACATTCCTATGTATTCACATATCAAACACCTAAAGTTTATTTATTTTTTCCCAATATATTACCATTACTTAAAATTTCAATATAACTCATTAAAATAATGCTATATTTAAAATTTAAAACTATTAAATTAATAATGAATTTATTTTTAAATATCACTTATTAAAATAATGGAGCATTCATTACATATTTACATATCTAACAACTAAAGTTTCATATTTACATACATAACACTTATCTTTAATATCATGTTATAACAGAAAATTTACATACATACCACTAAATTCTTATGTATTACACAAATAACAGATAATGACATACACTTTAATTTCTACACATCACCTTTTGCATGTGTCACTTTTAAGAAGTTAAAATGATGGTATTTTTATGTGATATAGTTATATGAAAGATTTGTGGTATAAAACTATAAATATAACAAGTAAAAAATGAGGTGTTCAGTTCATTTCAAAATACTTCAATGGGTACACACAAGAAATAGGCCAATTCGTAGCTTTTTGTTTAATTTCTTGTGGAGTCAAATCTTCATCAGTACGGGTCAAGGGAATGGCTCCTTGACCCTTGATTTCCATATAAAGGACACGACGAGGAAAAAGACCCTCTCTGACCTCCATTCTGATTGATTGGATATCTTTCAGAAAAAAAACGAAGGAAGATGCGATGATTTATTCTAGATAAGTAAATACAAAAGAATTTGGAGGCATATATGTAAATGCCCCTACATTCTATAGATGTATGAAGCAAGTGCTCTTTAAAAACCTGGCAATGATGATAAAATTGATGGCAAAGATGACCACATAACAAAGCATTTATTAATCTCCTGCATGTCAGTTCCAACAAACCCTAAACCTAATCAACAAAAGGGGTCATACATTCATCACCCAGCTGAAGGTAATCATATGAACAGAGATATATTTTACATAAAATTCCATTGGAGATCAAAATCAGAAGAAAATTCCTACTGGTGAAAGAAGAGCTAGCTAGGCACCTTAACTTCCATTGTTATTATTATCAGGCCTCCACAGACCCAATCCATTCCTCACTCCACCAAAACCTGGAACCATACCGGGCACCACTCCCAACCCCGGCGGTCTCCCGCTACCCAACCGGCCACCCATGTGGCACGGCCTCGGATGGCCGTCCGGCCGTCCTTGCCACGGGGCATTATTAGGCTGCATTCCCCCAACCTGGGGCTGGATGGGCGTAGGAGGAGGAGGTATGAACTGCGGGGGCATCAGGTTCTGGTTTATTGCAAATGGGTGGGCATTTATAAGTTGCTGTTGATACACGTGCTGCGGAGGCGGCGGTAATGGCGGCATCGATCTCATATTTTGAGTGCTGCGGAGGCGGCGGTAATGGCGGCATCGATCTCATATTTTGATTTGGATTCCACTCAGGAATATCATCTTCATCATTCCACGGCTCGACAGGAATCCCCAACTCGCTAATGATGTTCTCCCCCTGCCCATACTTTTGGATAAGTTCCCTCATGTGGTTGGACGAACAGGGCGGAGCCGTCGCTGTCGCCTTCGCCGCCAATGCGCCTGCACGATGGGAGCTTCGGCCGCGAGAAAAATCAAACTCGGGAAGATCATCATCCTCTCTCGCAATAGGCGGGCCGAAGCCGGGCGGAACATCGTCTTCATCATTGGGTAGAGGCATTGGATTCCGGCGGAATGAATGATTCATGCTTTCATGACGTTTTTTCGAACTCGAATGTTTCTTCGAGCTGCCATGACGGTGGTGGTGGGAAGATACTCTAGGTGATATGGTTGCATGGGGTCTTCTCCATACAACAATGCCGATGAGGCCATTGAGGACAGAGCTGATGCTGCCGAGGAGCTCCTTAGAGAGGTTGTGGGTAAGTATGGTGAGTATTTTTGGGTGGGAAGGGCAGAGGTAGAGCTCAACTCCTGGGACAGGCTCAGCAAATCCTACTCTCTCATCTGTGATGTAAGAGTGGATGGCCTGTAGTTGGAAGGAAGGAGAAGACATAAAATCAAATATTTAGCGATCATATATGGTATAAAAAAAAGGAAGATTTACATGCATACCATTCAATTCGTATGCATTTACATATCCAACAGCTGTAAAAGATAAACTTTGTAAAAGAGAGTTGAAGCCAAACCTCGGAGAAATGTGCACGCCCACTCTCCAGAGAATCCTCCTTCCAGCTAAATTCGACCATCTGCATAAATAAGGAAATATGTATTATTTATATGTTTTTTTAGGAAATAATAGGCGAAAATTCATGCATTTTGGCAGTTAAATAGGAGCATTTTTGAGAATTAAGATATTATCATAAAACAACTACGTACAAATTTATGTTGAAAGTCATGATTTCAGATTTTATTTTTCCTCAAAATCAGTTAATGCACAAAAGGGACGTTCAGTTTTATTTTTAATTAAATGGATTTGTGTATGCGAGAAAAATAAATGATTTCCAAAAAATATTGACTTAATTTTATACAAAAAAAAACTACAATAATTTTTTATTTTAATTCCAATATTTTGGCATTAAAGATTTGAAAATATTTAAACAATTTTTTTATGAGATTGTCAACAAAATTTATACAATAAATAACTAAAATACAATCTGTTTCTCGAGTCTCGGTAATATACACATCAATAGGAAGCTCCCACTTGTTGGCGGCGTATACCCAGAAGTTATCGTACAGCTCAAACAGCTTTTACATTCGATATAATAGACCCATCCCCTATTCTCATTCCATTGCTTTAAAATTCGCGCTCGTATAACCCAGCTGCTCACTGACGTGTGCTTCCAACATACACTTTCACTTTTTTCATTCTATTTCCTTCAGCCCAGCTTGAGCAGCTTTTACATGGCCGCATTCCACACAGAGTGGCAGAATTTTATTTCAAAAGATAGCAAACAACATTGCTGCAATCGCTGCAGCATTCATTTACATCACTTCTTACATCAAGCAACCTAGCTCCAGAGATTCAACTTTACATTAACAATAAAATTGTTCATATTAAGGAGCATTTACATGCATACCACACAATTCTTACATATTTACATTTCTAACACCTAAACTTTTATATTTACATAGATAACCCAAATCTTTCACATCATATCAGAAATATCACTATCACTAGCTTTTTAAAAGTGAATACACCTTTTAATATGAATGTCAGGGTGTTATAAATGTAAATATAACACTTTAAATGTTACATATGTGAATGCATAAGAATTGTGTGGTATGCATGTAAATTT